TGCGAACAGCAAGGTCAGCTGGTTAATGGTCTCCACGCTGCCGTATCTGAACAGCCTCCGGAGGAAGTCCGTCTGAGCCAGCAGCCGTAAACCGCTTCAAGCCTCGAATCTCGAAGTAGACTTCCGCTTCGCTGAGTGGATTCAGAGGGACGAGCCAGAGTGGACAACAAGGTGTACTGCATGTACTGATGGACGGTGAAGGCCAGATGAACTGCGAGTTAAAGTGCTCGGTCCAGCGGTCCATACGCCTCTGTTGGTTGGTGATCAGAGACACGTCCACCTCGCAAATAACCTCACCGACACCGGGCTTCCTGAGGTCAGTGGACCGAATGAGTTGGAAAAGCTTGCCAGAGAGGGCAGCGGTCTCCATCTCTAAAGCACGCTGACCACCATGCCTCGCGATCCTTGCGTAGGCTTTGCTTGAGCAGCCGGTTGGCAGAACGGCGCCGATCGTTGCAATCTGATTCCGCGGGTATATCTTTGCGGCGTTCGAACAGCTCCAGAGAACCAGCAGAGATCCAAACCTTTAAGGGGAGTCAAGCTAGGCCGCAGCTTGACTGTCCGCATGTGATCATCGCTTTCTGTATACAAGTCCAATGTTGCTCTGTCTTGAAGTGGATTACAACTGAGTATGTATGCCAGTGAAGACTGATAGCTCGCCTGGACAGAAAAATCAGTTAATCTGTTTACATTAATCTTGAGGTGCTTCGTGTTCCGGGACCCCCCAAAACACATGCAGATTTTCGCCCGGATCAGTGCATGATCTGTCAACGAACGTGGATCAAAAGGACCTGCAGTCCAGTACGCTGCCTCGCCATTTGAAGCTAACTACAATGTGATCAATTTAAAACCACGGTTGTGTTGGCGAAGGGGGACGCCACGTTGCGGAACGCTTCTTCGTACGCCTGAAGTTAGTGCTCGAAAAAAACAGACGGTTGTCTTCGCACAATGTGAGAAGTCTCTCCGTTATCAGAGCTGTTCTCATCGAGCGCGTGATGACCACCAAGGTGGCGTTCGTATGGTAACAGGCGGCCAACCCGTGCATTAAAATACCCAACAAGGACGACATCCGATTTTTAGCATTAGTCAAGAGCTGATGTAGATCACGGTAGAATTTATCCTTGACCGAGTCGCCACTGCAGTCAGTTGGTGTGTACGCAGAGATCACAAGCAAGTTGCGTCTCTCCTCGCGGCGCTTGTTGATTCTACATGAACCGCGAAGCCGAACTGTACATAATCGGCTGTTACTCGGGAACCAATCCAGTAGGGCCGTCTCGGCCTTGACACTTAGTGCCATACGTACACCAGCCAAACCCACTGAGGCTGTTTCTGGACCTCCAGAAAGACGCAGGTGATATCTGGCTTCGTGGTCAGTGGATGATGTCAATGTAAGCACAGTGCTGCGATCTTGCAACCGGGTTTCTGAAAGGCGGCAGACATCAATGTCTAAGGACTATAGGGTGCGCGCTAGACCGGCTTGCTGTCCAAACTGCATGAGTGTCCGAACGTTGAAGCACGCCATACGGAACGAGGATCGGAGACGAAGGAGAGCCATAGGTTGAACTTTGTTGTTCGCGGCGCAACCGGAATCGCAGCCGATTGTTGCACAAGAATCGGGTAACGGAAAGTAAGGATTGTTATCAAACAAACAACTAGCGTGTGATGAAGTCGTGTGGATGTGAGAAGCAAAAACGATAGCTGATGGGCACGTTGTAGTACAGTCCATGGCTTTGTGAGAGAGTGTGGTACTACCCGGTTGCCCAAGCCGAAGTAGGGAGCTGAATTAGGGGACCCTACCCCGAGCCTTTGGCTAAATAATCTGCCCGCAAGGCAGCGGGGCGAATTCAGGGAATCGCGCCCATTGGGAGTTGCTGACTGAATATTCAGTCCATACGTCTTTCGTTTGGTAGATCACCAAATAGGGGCCAAATAATCCCCATGAAACCAGCACAATTGCTGGACTACAATGACCCGTCGAGGTGGAACACTGTCGCCGAACACTTCGCTGGAACGGGGTACACCCGAACCCCCCAGCTGGCACCCAAAGAGAAAGTAGTTCGGCAAGCCAGCTTGAAGAAATCGACTGAGAGACTTGGTCAAACTGGTACGTGCCGTCTTCGTGGATGGGGGCCTCGGGATGGTCCCCCCCAATGGTCGGAGACCTTATCAGAAATGGCGCAGTTACGCAGTCAGATGTTCCAGCATTCGGTTTCTTTCATTGGGTAGTTAATTTTCGTCCCATTTTGATTAGTTTAACGCACTACCTTGCTTTTATTTGGCTTACATCCTATTTGCCTCTAGTCCCATTAACCTGCCGTTGTTTGTATTGCTCTTCTTGCAACTGGATTGACCGCAAATCGGTGCTCTTCATGGGTGCATAAGTCGCATTGTTGACTTGATTCGACTGACTTGATAGTTATTCAACTATAATACCTCTGTAATTTTTCAACTGGGGAACGCCGATTGTACCGGTGGCCAAAGCGGAGGGCTCCGTACGAATCTACGGCGACCACAAGATGAGTGCCAACCAGTTTTCCATGATAGTCAGCTAATTATTGCTACAGGCGGTGAAAATTTAACCCAACTTCATCATAGTCACGCATATTCAGAAATAGAGCTCGATGAACCTTCTCCAGAACTTACAACTATCACTACACACACGGGACTTTGCCAATACACCCGTTTACCTTTTATCATCAACTCTGCCCCCGGAATCCTTCAAAGGATGTTCCTTTCACTTGTACGTATTTGGATGATATTCTCACCACCGGCCTTTCCTATGAACACTGTTTGAAAGATTGGAAGGAAAGGGATTTAAAGCGCCAAGGTCTAAGTGTGAGTTACTTACTTCATCTGTTATCTTGAATATAGACTTAATATGGTCGGTTTACATGCTCCAGGAGATAAGATACAACCAATTTTAGAAAGCCTCGAACCTAGAAACATTGATGAGTTCCGTTCGTTTCTAAGAATGCTATCACATTATCGCCGTTTCTTAACTGTTGCATCCACTATGTTATCCTCTCGGAATTAGTTACTACACAAAATGCACCGTGGTGTTGGGGTCCTCGGCAAAGCGGTACCTTAACCGAAGCCAAACAAGCTCTCGCCTCCTTGCCCATGTTCGTTAATCATAATCTTAGGAAGCTCTCGTTCTCCAATGTGACGCATGTCCTTGGGGTATGGGTGGTCCTTTGCCGCCGCATAAATGAACAAAAGTTGTACCATAGCGTTTGCATCACACACTCCGTAACCAGTTGAAAGGAACTATTCACAGCTTAACAAGGAAGCCCTATCCTAATCTACGGAGTGAAAAAGTTCAACCAGCACTGGGATTTTTCTGAACTTCACACAAACCACAAGTCATTGATATTGTTGTTAGGAGACCAAAGGTATAAAACAAAGGCCCTGATGTTGAGCATACACAATAATATAAGTACTAAAATCCCTGGTGCCAACAATCGCACGGCTGATGCCGACTACCAGTTGCAGGAACGTCACATGAAAATTGGTTCACCACAATCGGTCAGCTGACAGACCGAGACCCAGGTCCTTCTACAATCAAACGATTCTTAAGAGACGGATGGCCTGCTGAAGAAGCCATTGATTTGCAACTATTTATAAAACGCATGAGCTGAGCTTATTCGATGGTTGTGTTTTGAGTTACCCGGTTGGTCCCTAATACCAAAGCTCGTGAACAGATACTTCACATCCAAATGTCTCGAGAATGAATGCATTAGCGAGGGGATACTGCTGGTGGTAAAGGGTAGATTCAGATATCGATAACATGCTGGAGAATCGTGATACCTGTAAAGGACACCAACGCAGTAGACTCCCCCGGTTCGGAACATCCGTGGCGATGGCTCGACAAGCCGTAGCAACAGACTCAGGCCAACTACTTCGGCCCGATTAGTGGAACTATGTTCTGTTACGCATTGACGCCCACTCTAAATGGGTTACGCAAACGACGTCCGAAAGCACGGTTGTTAAAATGCATTCATCGTTCGCAATATTCGGTATTCCGGGGATCCTATGGACAGATAAAGGGTCCCCCTTTGTTAGCACAGAGTACAACCGGTTCGTCACAAGTAACGGAATTCAGTACATAAAACTGACGCCTTATCATCCCGCATCAAACAAGTAGATAAAGCGGGCGGTGCAGGTACTGAAGTGAGGACTGTTGAAACAGCGTTAAAGACCCTACAAACAAAGCCGGATCGGTTCCTATTTGCTTATCGCTCCAAATTCGCTGAACCGGTAAGTCTCCCGCAGCGTTGATGTTTGGCAGAAACCTCAAGACAAAGCTGAATCCACAGGTTCCTAATCCATTGGTGGGGATATAAGTGACAGAAGGAGTCAGTATCTACAAATGAGATAATGATACACCTTTTGGGTAAAATGATTTGGTCTATACTAAAGTGCCACACCGTCAACCTGCCACCGTAATTCGCTCCTCGGGAAGCCAAAACGACCTCCAACGATCAGACGGCCGGCTTATTCATCGGCACTCAGACCACGTTCGTCCATGGAGTTCAGGCACACCTAACAAGGCGGAGACCGAGTTGTGTGCAACCAAAAAACCAGGCACTGAAAACGAGTGCTGCAAAAGCACGAGCAAAACGCTGCTGAGGCGAGTAACCAGCATTCCCAACACCGTGGATTTATTTCAGCCAAGACTGTGACATCTATGGAGGTGAGCAATGTCATATGCACACTGTAAGTCAGGACACACTCTACTCAGGTGGATGAACAGTACACATACATGAACGCACGCAAACACCAACCTCGTCGTGTCGCCAGTGAACGCATGTCGAGATGTCCTGTCAGATATTGACCACAGTGCTCTGTCCATATTTGTTTCCATCCCTGGGCTTCCCAGAACATGCGCTCTCTATCGTCTACTTACCGCGACTAATTCGCATCAGGAACATCATTAGTTAAATTATCAGACCTTGGGAAACGATGTACCTTCCAAATCCATAACATCAAAACCCGAAGACTCGAATCATGACAAAAAAAGCCGTATTGAAAAATACATCATTATTAAATTGATGGGGTCGTTGTTGGACCTCTAGGTGCACTATATTCAAAATGGTACATATCGGGAAATAAAGTCACGAACAAGCGTTTAAGCTTGTGCATCGCAACGCGCGGCAATATGCCCAAATCCTTGGCATTTATAGCACTGAACGCCGGAACCGCCACCACCTTCGCCACAATCTCTCGCGTAATGGCCGTATTGCTGACATCTAAACCAAAACATCAGAAATTACACCGCGCCATATACCTGTAGCACTGAATACCACTTGACTCGCCGCCGCGACTATTAGGGCAGTTGCGGGCCATGTGATCAGGTTCCCCGCAGTTGTAGCATCCACGACCGCCACCACCACCGCCACCACCTCTGCCGCCACCACCGTAACCACCACTTCGCTGACCGCCAGTACACTCCCGAGCAAAATGTCCAGTTCCACCACAGTTGTAACAGGTGTCTGCAATACACAAAGAAGCACTGGTCACGCGTCCGAAGCGATCCCGAGAACAAACGAAGCTGTGGCATAACCGCATATTCTTGAACACTCAAACCACCGTTTCGCACAGGCGACAACCACGAAACTCACCGCGACCACTTCCATATCCACCACTGTATCCACGGCCACTCGTACAATCGCGGGCCAAATGCCCCGGCTGACCACAGTTGTAGCACGCATCTGTAACGCAGAGAGGATCTCAGCGAAGGCACTCGAAATAGACATGTTGTCCAAAGTACTCACGCAGTGATTTGAGCAACGATGCCATAGATGATACAGCTAAGAGTTTATCATCGAGCACAACATAAACTTACCGCATCCGCTACCACTATCGCTAACTCCTGCAGATTTCAGTATCAATATATATCGCCAACGGCAAACGGGCCGTTGGAGGATCGAACAGTGGATGAACCAACCGCCGAAGTATTAGGATCATCACCTCGAGATCGAGGTGTGAAGTGAAGTCGATGTAAGCCCTTGTGTGGGCTACAGTGGGGACGATTTAACTCATTTAAACAACGAGAATCATAAAGATAAAATGCAATGGCTGACCACCCATACTCATGGCAACGGAAACCGACGAAGATGGAAAATGAACATGTGGAAAAAGAAAAGAACCGAAGCACTAGGAATAACTAGAGGGACGAACAGGAGCCAACGGCGCCATATTATACACGTTTTGAACAGCACACCTCAGGACCTCGTCATGGAAGAGAGCGCGTAGTCGCGGTAACGTATCAACTGGGGAGTAAAGAAGACTTAGGATCAAAAGGTAGCACGCGGAACACGCAACAGGAACGTGATCATTGGAGAGCTAAGGGCGATTGGTCCAACGCGTGTCTATACCTGTGGTCAAGTCAACCTGGGGACAATAGCCATATCAATTAAGTGGGTAATGGATACAGATACTAGCAGAAACGTCTTCATATGGTAAATCAAATAGCCAGACTGGACATTGAGTCTCCATGCAGTCCCTGGAACTCATCCACGCAGCTCCAACTTGAATGTCAATGATATATATATATATATATATATATATATATATATATATATATATATATATATATATATATATAAACGGGGAGGTCATTGGGTTGATTCAAATAACTGATCGGTGATAATGAGAGCAAATTATGTCACCTCCGTCCCGCTGTATCAGCATCCATGTTAAAGGTGCAAGAACGCAGTAAGGAGCGTTACCGCTATCGCCGGACATTGTACAAATGACCCTAATTTTGTGTGGTGGGAGGAAGGGCCACTGCGTAACACCATTCAATTGTACTCAGTCAACTAAGACGAACCAGTCGGTGAGTATTAGCTGTTCTCTAGACTCCGTTGCCAATGTACTCATTTCTTCTTTCGCTCCTCCCTTCCTCCCCGTAGGCTGGGCAAAAGACTGTCGTCGAATATGAAACCGATGGTTGTCAACGGGCAGTGCCAATCCTCTCAAAAATGTGTTGGGTTTCCGAAACAAACATACAAGATAACTGAGAAGTAATGAATATCCGACGACCTAGTCCCGATTCTGTCAAGACCAATTACACTCGTTGAGTCTGGTAATACCGAAATAATGTTATGTCTATATCCGTTGCATTGCCCTAATAAAAAGTGCTGGAAACGATCAATTAGATCGGATGCCAGTGGACATCCGGTGTGCGGTTCGACTTCGAACCTCTATTCGGGCTAATAAGAAACGCATGAAGGTACCTTGTTACCATTTCAGCAGATACTCCACGGGCTTTAACTGAGATTAGCAAAAACTACGTATATCAACTACTATCGCTTATTCATAAGGTGAAGAATACTGACAGTGAGATGAACGACCATGTGGGTCGCCCGTCGGAATCAACACTGGGAAGGTCTTCATGGGGCTGATGTTTGCGGAACAGAAGTTGGCGATTGATTCCCGCAAGAGTGATGACCGCAACCATTATAGTAATAAAACTGTTTTCAAGCACAAGCGTCCATACTGCATCATCTGGCGCCAAGTGGATTCCTCGATTACTTTAGTCCAAGTCGATCACATTGCCATCGGCTACAAGTGGTGTACATCAGTTCATAATCGCCGTCCAATTTGCAGTAAGTGACTAATTCCAGATCATAAGACATGTACGCATGATGCTCAAGCTTTCAGCTTCAGTGGGACCATCCAACGCCGAGGCCTCCCACGATTCGACTGGAGTCACAAAACGCAGTTGCTAAGAATTACAAAATCTGTTGCAAAGTAGTCACAGGCGCATGTGGGCGAGTCGAATGAGAAATGCAGTCATCACTGCAGAAGAGAGAATTTGGAGGCTTTTCTTCGCCTTCAACTGCGTGGCTCTTCAAAACCAAGGTCCCTTATACAGACGGCGGGATATCAGCATGCCAATCAAAGGCAATGTACGGCAGTGTAAGAAGGTAGACACTACTGTATGGATAAGAGACTAGGTATGTTAGCGCTAACCCCATAAACAACTGTCTGTCTTTGATCATCCATGATGGCGGAGCACTGTGCCCATCCGTTTTGAACAGCGGGTTAGCAATACTTGTATCAGTCAATCGGTGTGTGATGCAGCAATGAGACGCCCTCTAAGCTTAAATCATGTGGTCCACATGTCTGCCTACCGCCATCTTCAGTGGTTAGTACGCCATTAATAAAAGCACTTAGATGAAAGCGCCAGCACCATCATCTTTAACAGCAGTATACCTGTAGTCTGAATGGATGCTTCGCTGCCGTACAAATACTGTAACCAAGGGAATGAAGAATTGTAAAAAGGGGGATTCTCAATAAAGCCCAAACAAACAGGATCAAAATGCCTAGACAATTACGGAAACCTGGCAAGACAGCTCAGTGGTCTTCTACCACACTGCATCACCATTAGCCATCACCCCGCAGACAACTCAGCATCAGACTTAAAATTCAGCTTGATTAGAGACGAAAGCGTTTCTGCAACTAACGTCGACTGCGAACCATGTCGTACAAAGCCACCAACCGAGCACAAGTTGGGTCACGTGGGCATCAACTTGGAAACCGAGAGGTACCAACAGCACACAGTTTAGTCATAAATGGGCGGAATGTCACAGGCTGACTTCAATGTCAACCGTGATCGCAAGTGAGATTACGAGAGGCAATCTATTTGTGCCAACGTCGCTTTTTGCGCCATTCGCCGTCCGGCAAAACAAAACAAGGCTATCATAGATAAGCACTGACAAGGTACAAATAGTAGGTGTCCAAAGCCAACATAACTTACCCGATGTCAACTGTTGCATTAAGGAACCAGCATGACTACAATCCCTCTGGTACTCGCGCAAAAGTTGGTACCACCAGGCAATGCTCCGCAAATAACAATGATCAAAAACGTGAACGTGATTCAGACCAGTTGATCTAGTTACGTTGTGTTGGAGCAGCACCATCACTGCACGGTTTGTAATGAAAGGGAAACATTTAGACTTCCAGTATTTCGGGACATTTTTGATCCATTTGTTTTGCCGATCGTGCAACCCGTTCAATTTTCATTTCCCTATTAGTCGTACGCTACGATGGTATGTGCTCTTGCTGACCTGCTCTCAACTCCTTGTGACTCATTACAATATATGTTGGGTCCGATTACTTTTGCATAACTGAATATTTGGTATTCTTTGATTTTTACTGGAGACCGTTGCAACCAGTTGCTGAGCTCCACTCCAAAATTGTTGACCCCCGTTGCAAATGCTATTGCAACCATTTTGAATTCTGCGTTCCGATGAGACCAAATCTTATCGTATTTTGTTCGGTTTTTCCCGTTTTGATTGCCCAGTATTCTTCCACCATATCACCCGGATCGAGTGTTAGACCCTATCAAGATTCCGTTGGTTTTGGTTGGTTTTGTGACAGTCTAAATTATTTCGCCATTGAATCACATCAGATACATCAAAATGTAAACTAACTCGCTTGCCTACCTAGTAACATAGCTCTGCAACTAAGGGGCTTGGTGACGCGTCCCGCCACTGAGCAACGTTACGACACCCTCAAGCAACCCGCCGTAAGCAAAGCCACACCCCCGAAGTGGACCCGCCTTCAGTAGCTCTTTCAAGGTCTACAGTAGAGTAAGAATAAGCCCTTTGAGTTGTTGGGAGAGACGCACCATTGGTTCGTGTGTAGTTCATTTGTGGGGCGTTACTCTTCAAACTCTGGCTGCAACGCCTGTCAGGAACAGCGCAAGGCAATCTTACAAAATCAACGGCAATCGCCCATTGACGACATTCAGATGGATGATGCACCGATGAACTGTTTTCGCCCTCAATTGCATTGAGTCCCTTCACCATTGTCACAGCCACCACTTAGTCACGATGCTATTCTCCTTGTTGATCGCCTTTCACTCCATCTGCCTCAGCTTCACATGAGCTAACTACGGTCTTAGCGGAACTAGCAGCTCTACTTTGGTGTACAAGCCAATCGTCGGACTACACAACGCACATGAAGTTCAGGTCCAGTGAAACAACTGTGCACCGGACACCAAAGTGCGATGGATTCAGTTGTAACCAAGGATAAATAACGGTGGTGAGATGACGTGATGGAACGCAAACAGAATACAAACAAAAGGAGTTAAGGAAGAAATGCGTAAAACAGATCAGAATGGAAAATTAACAGCTAGATGTACGAAACTGAAGGCAAGTACGCCACTGACTGATAGTATGTAACCACGAAGACGATACGCATCAGCCTGACCTAGTTTCTCAGTCAATATTTTCATGTCATTATGCCACGTCATCGACTGGCCACTTTGTAGTGCAGCCAAGGCACAATGCACGCCAGGGAAGTCGGTCAACGGGTATAAGGAGGAGATGACCTAACCAACGTAAATTGCTGGTGCAGTCAACACTGCACCAGGGGCTTTTGCCAAAAACCGGGTGACGGAACTCAGAATTGGTCATCCGGTTCCCACCAAATGTGAGCAGTAATCAACTGCCAGTAAACGAGGCAATAGCCATCAGGCTTCATGACCCTGACCTTTGTACGCACAAGAAATTTGTCCAGGCACTAACTCTACCCTGGTCCCCTGGAACACAGATATATAGTGTGGACAACGTTATATACCATTTTCACTTTAAACTGGACATTTTGCAAACCAAACTGGACATTTTGCAAACCAAAGTGGACATTTTGCAAACCAAAGTGGACATTTTGCAAACCAAAGTGGACATTTTGCAAAACAAAT